AAATAATATCTGGTAATATTAAAAATTCAAATGAACAATCGTTAATGATTATGGGTTCGCTTTTTCTGCAGTCATTGTATATAAGTTATCTGCAGTAAGTCCAATACGACATCGTTTTGGGACAGAAATTATGGTGTTTTTGTAATTTTATTTTATTCTAGGATTATTATAGTCTTTATAATTATAATTTTTTAATTTTTCAATCCCAAAACGATGTTATTTTGAGAGTAAATGCAGATAACTTATATGCATTAAGTGCAGAAATATTTTTCTAAATGATTATATATCAAAGCAAACATATAAAAAGACACTAACCTTTTGGGTAAGCATTTCAAACATAAGAATTTTACTTTCCTCCCATAGCATGATAAGTAATGAACCAAGCATTGTCATAAGGATATGAAAACACACAAATATAATACTTTTCTATAAATTTCACTTTATAATTGAGATATTAACTATAAATTAAAGCATACAGACAACATTTAGAGTCAAAGGGATTCTCCTTCATTATACTTTTCTATTTACAAAATATATTTTTATTTGATTCTTCCATCTTTTCATTTCGTAAGCCATTGCTATTTCAATCGAAGTCTCGCAGAGCTAACAAGTTGTGCAACAAGTCAGATGAAAAAAAGAGCAAGAGAGAGAAATCTAATTGCAATTGTAAGTCACAAATTAGGACTTTGAAAGTGATTTTAATTTATGGTCAGGTAAAAGGATTTGGGTATTGGATTTTATTTTTCTGATTGAAAAACATAAATATAATTATATTTATTTAGGTGGTGCCAAATTATAAATTTAATCTTTGTTAATTATAATTAATTATATATTTACATATAATAAATATTTTTTTTTTAAAACCAAGCAGGTGCCTTGGCACCTGCTGGCATAGGAGTGGCTCCGCCACTGAACCAGTTGGCTGATTTTTTTACAAAAGCCCTTCATCCATCTCCTTTCTCTTCGATTATTTCCAAGCTTGGACTTCGTGACATCCACCGTCCAACTTGTGGGGGGTGTTGCATAATAGAGAAGCTGGCGTGGAGAATATGGAAGTTAGAGAAGCTGACGTGGAGAAGACGAAAGTTAAAGTGGTTAATAACTGATATGTTGAAATCAGTTTTATCAGTTCCATAAATCATGGAGTTCAGTTATAGCTTTCTGTTAGAGTTCTTAGTGCATAGCTTAAGTATATCTTATGTTTACACATTGTATATATAGTTGATGTAAGAACTTGAATCTTTTAGAACTTTCTGATATGAGAATATACAGTGTTTTCCATCATAAGAACTGCATAAGTGCTTGATCTGATGCTAAGCGTTGAAAGAAGTTCCCAGCCAATTTTTGGTTTCCGTCTTTCCTCACTCTTGCTTAGCATATGACTCACGAAGACTCTTGTCACTCCTAACTGCAATAATTTCAAAGGTCAATGGAAACATATGGTGTTGGGCCACCAACTCACAAGGGCCCGGCTGTTAGAAAACCATCAATAACCCACAACAGGCCCAGCTACTTACCGGACTATTATTGATAGCACATCCACCAATTGTTTTTAATAATATTAATGCCTTAATTTCCCTGTAATTATCAGCCGTCAGATGATATCGTAATGTAGGAAGTGTGTCATAGTGACATACTGTCCATGATTTTATGTCAAACAACGACGTCGGTGTACACGCATGATCAAATAAAAGTTCACACTTGACAGTAATGGAAATTTAAACCATTCATTTTTAAGAGAGGGAGAGATTATTTGAACGATAGATCTGGATTATCTTCTCTTGTTATTTTCATAAGCAGCCCTTCATTTTGCTTTATTATTGCCCGTCGTCACCAGAATTGATGGTATGGTTACCAGAATGGATTGTATTAGATCTTGGACGCAAAATGAAGCAAAATATTTCGTCATTAACTCTATACCAAGCAAAACACCTTCACCACGTGCTTGCTCTGACGCCTCTGATCATATAGTTACAAGGGTAGTTGGACGATCCTAATATCTTCTACCAGACCATATTTTCCTTCTTTATATTCCATTCCCCACGTACGTTCTGCTGATTCATCCCTCAGGGTTTAAACCTGGATCCGGAAGGAAGATAAATTTGGCTTCCAACTTAAATGTTATGCAATATATGTGTGTCTCCATATATATGTGGCTATTACTTATTTAATTTTTCTGCATGTATGCTATAATTATTGTGTGTTTATGCCATTTTATTTATTTATTTTGAAAGTAAAAAAAATTAAGTATCTTTTTCTTAATCGTTTTGGGCAAGCAGGGCAGGCCCCGGTTGCGCATGCTGTCTATTAGCCACATGTCCTAAGAGCATTTCGTTGTTCTCTATTTTATATATATTTCTTGAAGAGTAAAATTTGAATTGATGACATAACCATAAGTCCTCCAAAAGAACGAAACACGAGTGTTACTGTGTTAGCAGTTAGCTCCTATGGCATTTTCTTCTTCTTGTGATTAAGCAAGCAATGTGAAGTCCTTATTGGTTTCGTAACGAAGAATTTGGATAGTTTATATTAAGTTACGTGTTCAATTCGTACTATTATATTTTTTTTAAAAAAGCTAGCAATGTGTAATCTAATATATTAGGGTAGTAGCTACATTTGAGGAATAAGAACGAGCCATATCAACTGTAATTGTTCTGAAAAAAAATTTGTTTTTATTCTTTACACTGTATACTATCAATAATATATAGTCTACAGTATATAATCACATTCGTGCTAAAGCTGTACCGAAGATGCGCTCTGTGTCCCTCAGCGGGTTATGCTGTTTCCAATCCAGTGAACACAGTAGGACGTACATTAATAATGGAATATTGAAGTAGGGGTCAGTTTTTCTGTGCTACGGAAATTGCAGGAAAATGCAGAGCTGGCCAAGCCAAGCCATGATAATCATGGGAACATGACAAGATAACAGCGGATTTGTGACCATCCTCGATCATTATTTTTACAACAATAACAACTTTTATACAATAGAATATTATCTCCAAGATAATGATTATTATGCATGATATATGACGTATGTGTGGGGCGACTCTACGAGGAGTCCATAGCGGGAGATAATTATTAATGGACTAAGTAGCCCAATGCTAATAAGTGAATTCGATTTCATATTTTAATCCAAAATTTTAAGGCATTGGTTCATGAGTTCATCTACTTATATCTATTTCACTTAGTACATTATCAACTAATGTGAGACTCATCACACTTGAATATTCCAACAATCTCCTCTTTAAATGTGAAATTCACCATTGATATGCTCTCCCTTAATTGAGTATCCCAGGGCCAAAGTACCCAACTCGCCTCTTAGTCAAACATCTTAGTAGTACAAGCTAACTCGGCTCTGATACCACTATCAGGCGGATCCAAGAGGAGCCCATGACGAGAGACAATCATCAATGGGTTAAGCTAACCCAATGCTAACAAGTAGATTCGACATAAAATCTCAACCCAAATGTTGAAAATCGACACACATAAATCGAAAAACGAAAAAAGAAAGGGAAGAGAGAGATCGATACAGTGATTTATCCTGGTTCACTCAGTGTAGACTACGTCCAACTTGTCCGTACTATATTCACATTACCATCACTCGTTACAAGTCACTCGATTTACAAAGAAATATACATATGATTTAGAAAGTACTAACAACAGCTATTTATGATCCTAAGTCTAAACTATTAATAAGTCAGATACTCACAATAATACCAGGCCTTTACGGTGTCTTCTAGTGACCCGCCAATAATTTTTTTTATCAATATGCAAAATATAAACCATACCTAACAGCGTCACATAGGCCTTATGAGTTCTCTCCCTCGTACAGGAAAATGGAACAGTTGGGATTTAAGGGAGCCACGCCTCAGGACAAGTCCTCATTGTGATATGTTGCATGAATGATGAAATAATAGCCGTCTGATGTATCACTTTCTTGTGTGATGATTTCAAAATGAAGTGGACCAAATATGAGTACGCCAGTTCCATCATATAAATATATAATTGTCTTATACTATTTGGATTCCTTCTTTCATTTAATAGTTTTTATTTTCATCGGTGTGTACGTAGTTAATACGATTCAGATTCACAATCATACTTGAATGCTTGCTGCAATACTATGTGCTTTGCTTTTGTTTGATACCTCTTGTCACCATTTCCCCATGTGCGCCTTGCTTTCATCCCAAACAAAATACACTCAACATCGGAACGGTTTGACTATTCTAGCCTTTACGCGCTCTTTTCGGTCGTAGAGTTAAGAAGCTCTTCAAGTTATACAGCATTCACACTTCAGACTCTTTGAAATCACCTAACAATTTTAATACAAATTTTGTTAGGATTTTCTATACGTGAAGGTGAAAACATAACTATTTATAGATTACCGTACTAAAAATATGTGACCGTGTGAGTGAGCGAGTGATATCAAAATATTGTTTTTCGAATCCATCTGAAAAACCAAAGGGTAAAAACAAAAATCGGCTTGGAGCGTGCAGTTACGCGCCATAGACGAAACGAAGAGTTGATTGAAGAATCTGTGTTCTGTTTAATACTACAGTGTTTTACGGCTGTCCCGTCACCGTTGAACACTTATCCACCGTACGAACCCAAAAACCACCGAATCTCCTTATTTTTTTTTTCCTTTTAGCTTTTTCTTTTAAGAAAAAGAAATAAAATAAAATAAAATTTCAGTGCTAACTTTTTAGAAGGGAGATATTTTCACTGCCAAAATTTTTCACTATATCACCGTTAGATTAACATTTTCTATCTCTATTTAAAATTTTTTTAACATTTTCTCTTCAATCTATTAGTAATATGATGGGTAATAGATTAATAGTAAAAAAATTAAGTAGTTAGAATATTATCGCTCAACTTTTTGATCTCATATATCTTCCCATTTGTGTTGGCAAATCAAAACAAGCACTATATATAACCATCAAGTTAAGAGTTTCCTTTTCTTCTTCTCATAAGTCATAACTATTATAAACAATACAATACGAACTATGCCAAGCACGGCGAGAATAGGAAGAAGAAGAAACAATCTCGTACGCCTAAACCTATGTTTCTCAAATTTGATGCAGCCGTTCACACCTGAACCTCCTCCTACGAGCCCCACTCAACATGATATTGATCACAACCGTCCATCACCTCCCCGCACCACATCATCATCAATCATGTTAAAGAATTTCAACACTCTCTATGACTATGACCATGCCATAGCCCTACAGTACCCTTTTTCGCTCCAAACCACCACCTTTGAACCCGAACCCGAACCCAAACCCGCTGACTTCGCCACCGCCTTCGCCTCCCAACGCTTCTTCTTCTCTTCCCCCGGCCGCTCCAACTCCATCGTTGAATCCACTAGCAACAACACCGATTGCACCCCACCCTCTTCCTCCTACTCAATATCGTCGTTGATGGCCACAGCGCCGCCGGCAGAGGATGAGTCCGCCTCCACCGCCGCCGCCGATGACGACAAAACTAAGAAGAAAAAGAAAAATAAGCTGTTTTTGAACGGCAGCGTGGCCGTGTCGACGTACTCGCCGGACCCTTACCTGGACTTCCGGCGGTCGATGCAGGAGATGGTGGAGGCGCGTCCGGAGTTGATGGACGTGAAGTCCAATTGGGACGTGTTGCAGGAGCTTCTTCTATGCTATCTTGCGCTCAACCCCAAGAGCATCCATAAGTTCATTCTTGGTGCTTTCGCTGATCTTCTCGTTAGCCTCATGTCATTCTCTTCTTCTTCTTCTTCTTCTTCGCCGCCGCCGAATCCCAATCCGGCAGACGTCTCCGCCGGTGGCCGTTGATGTTAGAGTTTAGAAAATTGATGAGAGGGAGGGTGCATTTGCATGTGTAACGTGGGTGCCAGCAAATTATTGTAAGATTAATTAAGAGGTTCAAACACAGTGTTTCTTTAGAGCTATAATATTTTAAGTTTTGAAATATAACATGTAGCTAACATGTGAGTTGTTAATAATTAAATATAGATTTTTACATTATCAAACTCGATGCTAAGTTGCTGATACAAATTTAGGATTTACTCGGTTAAGTAAATGTGCTGCTTCACAATTCACATTATGTGATTACATTTATTTAGTTTTTTTTTTTTTTTGGTAAGTGTGGTGATGAACGCAATGTTGGTCCCTGTAGGCATTCGTTTGGTATCTTCTAGTTCTATTACTTCCATTGGTATCTTTTGCTATATATACTTTTTGTTTTATTTGGCGAGGGTGCTCTGTATTTGAAGGAATCTTCTCTCAGTCTAATATGCACTGTGCTAGATCACACCGTTGAAGCTGATCCAATTGTTAATTGGGTCTTTTCTTATGAGGGTGTTACTGTTGTTGAATGTTGGCTCCGCAGCATGCTTCAGCGGGATGGAGAGTCTGATGCTGGATATTTTGATTGGTTGGGATAAATGTAGGGTACACACGTTCAAGTTAGTATGCCAGCTATATACGAGCTTAAATCAAAATTGATTAGAGCATGTTTCTTTCACCTTTTAAAACTTTTATCTTTTCCTTATTTTAAAAGTGTTTTTTTATAAAAGTTAAGGCTATTTATATTTTTATAAAAATATTTAGTTTTTAAAAAATATATTTGACTTTTGACTTCTGTTTTTTGTAGTAGAAATTAAAATTTTTAGCTTATGAAAAAGGTAGATTTTTGATTTTTTTTTGGCTTCTGCTTTTTTAAAAAATAGACATTCAAACGAACTAAAAATGAAAAGTGCTATTTTTCAAGGAAAAAATAGCTTTTGAAAAAAAACACTTCACCCAAATGGGGCCCTAAGTCAAAATTGATTAAATGATCATATTTGGCTTCTGACCTTTGTTATATAATAGTTGATTGTATTGTTTATGCCATTTTAATATGACAGTACTAGTATTTAATCTTGTTGGTGGAGAGAAATGGCTTTTGCACGCTATTTTATTTGTAGATGTTTATTTGTAAGGTATGCCATATAATTTAGAAAGCACCAACATGTGTTTTTTAAATAAATTTGCATCCGATATATTCTGACATCAGATATCAATGTTTTGACATTCATTTGACATTTTTTTTTAAATCTAAATTTTATTTTATTAACTAAAAATAAAATATTAATTTATAAGTCGATTTGTTTTGTTATAAAATTTGACATAAAAAATTAATAAAGTATGAAAAATTATTTTTACTTTATATTTATGTTATGAAATTTGAATAATTGATTGGTTATATGACTTATTATGGACTGTTATATGTATTAAATATAAATTATATTATATATATTAAAATTATTATTTAATATCAAAACGTGTCTTAACGTGTCGAAATATAATATTTTTTAAATTAATATGTTGACGTATCGTGTCGTGTCTCGTGTCCCGTATCAATGTTAAAACAACATAGCATATAATGTAGCTGGAATCGGGAGTTTTTCCCTTAGCCATTGATTATTAAAGTGGTTGTAGAGTTGGAGCTGCTAATATAGAGATATGAGTTTCTGATGTCGTGTGTTAGTACATATACACGCGAGATGATATTGACACAGAATTAATATATTTTCTTAATTTTTAAGTCTTAATTCTTCGGCCTCTTTTAGTCCATTTATATTTTCTCATCAGTTTATGGTTCGTGACATTATTTTTTTTTTGGGTACGTACAAACTTGTGTTACGATTTTACTACGTTAGTTTTTGCTTGGGTAGGTATATGTTCCTTAGCTAGGATACCTAGCTAGTCAAATACGGAAAACTTTCGTCAAGGTGTTTGATAGAGAAGTTTTATTTTTTTGCCTGAAAAAATTTAGATGGAATCAAAAAAGACCATATTTAATTGGGGTTTGTAAAACATTTATATAAGGTACTCATTTGCATAGAAATATGATATTATGTATAAAATTGAGCTCAGATTATCACTTTAGAATACTACCCAGATGATTTTGCTAGCAAACGAAAAATTTGAAAGGAAAAATTAGGACACAAATATTCTTGTTGAAATAACGTGCCAAATTCAGATTCAAACGAGCAACGAGCAAAGAACGTTAGTAGAAGGTAAGAAGAACGAGACAGAAAGAGAGACAATGAAAAGGTAGGAAAAACGTTGGCAGAAGATGAGGACAAACCAGCAACGTCATTGTTGCTTATTCAGATTCAAATATTAATATCTAGACAAAGGTTATTTTCATAAATTTATTTAATTTTTTCAATATATTTTACATTCAATCAAATATAGACTCAGAAAACTTACACTAATCTTTTCGGTAATATTTTAGCTTGTCAAATAATTTTTGTTTAACTTTTTCATAAAATTTACTTTACCAATATATTCCCAATAATTGAATTTTCTCGATAATTTTTTTTTCTTCTCAACCAAAAACACCTTAATGCGTCCATTGTAAGAAATTTGTTTCCTTTATTTCGCTTCTCAAGATGGTTAGTAAGCTAATGCGACGAATGTATAGAAAACAAATTTAGCTAAGCAGTGCGTCTCTAACTACGAAGTAATAAAGCAATTTCTAATCAGTTAAAAGAAAGAATAAAAAATGATCTACAATCTGCAGGTTGCAGAGGAGCACAAGACTACTTTTTGTTTCTCTGCCATGGCATGAATCCTCACAGTGTATCGAGCTCAAACCCTCTTACTGAACGCTGCCATTGCCACTATTTTTGTGTCAGATATCCTAATCTCAGTCAGGTTTTCGTCAGGGTTTATTCAGACGCATAAAAGACGTATTTTCCATGTAGCAATTTTTTCCCTGCCTCTGTTTTCAATATTCTTATATTTAACCCTTCAAAGCATTCGTTATATAATGCAACTTGTCACATTCTGCTGCCTTGTATAAGAACAGTTGAATATATTATTGAGCAGATTTGATTTAATTAATTACTGTTGGTTTGCAGTGAAAACAGTGACAAGTCCATCTCAATAAACAAGTATGAGCTCGTCGATTAAAGTTGTACACAATCGTTGCATCCAGACACTGAATAGTTCAGAAAAGGCCAAATATAGATAAGTAAAATAAGAATTGGCATTGTACCAAAATAAAATAAAATAAAATAAAAAATTGGCAAATAGCTAGAGAGAATCAGGGAATCACAAAAGATAAAGTTTATATTATTTTTCTAATTAAAACTTATGATAAGGACTTGCCGGAACATCAAGATAATAATAATGCCATCGCTGGAGTGGAGGAAGAATAAATTTTTGTACTATTGTTGCATCAAAGATTTAGTACATCTACCAATCGAAATATTACATGTCAGCTAAAATTTTCCTGTTTTTGTTAAAAAAAATTTCTCTCCTATGATGTGTAATGCTTCTATTGGTGGAATGCACTGAATTTCGGTGCAACAGTAGCACCAAATATTTATTCGTGGAGGAATATATTTTAAAATGATATATAAAGAGGAGTTGCTGCCCAGTGGCTAGTATAGGCTAAACTAATTCACGTAAAAATATATTATAAAATGATATATAAACAGGAGTTTCTGCATACTCCTAACATGATTTTTTGGTGAATAAAATTATAAAGGTCTTGCTTTACAATTATGATTTATATTTTAATTTTGATTAACTTGGACTGCATCATATTTTATACGATTATTGAATCATTTTATAATCATACAATTAAACATTTAATTATGATAATAATTAGTTTATATGTTACAACTTTTTAATGAGATAAATATCTGATAAAATAAATTTCTCTCTAAGGCTAACAAATAAAAGTACTTTCATCTTTAATTTAATTCAAAGTATATACTTGCTTAACTTAGAAAAACTCATTCAATTGAAACTTTTTCCTTTCAAATGATACAAAAACTGAAGAATAAATGACAATATGAAGAAGTTTTACTAATATAAGACCAATTCTGGTTGTGTTGAAATAAAAGTATTATGCGGAGAGTAATAGTTTTAGTACTGCAAACAAATAATAGTATTACACTCAACAAACATTGTGAATGTGAAGAATCCTTGTAAGATTTATATCAAAAGAAAATACAAGTCTTATTAAATAGTAAGATGGGCATGACCTTAAGTACAAGACCAAATGTCTTATCTATGATATCAATAAATTTTTAGTACATATATGAATAAACTTTTATTGCATCAGATGTATCAAAAATTTAGTGCATCAGCCCATTCATTTGGTGATATGTGGACTGAAAACATCATATCATTATGATGTGATGTTTTCATTCAACGTGTCACAAAATGAATGAACAAATGCACTAAATTCAGTGTATCTGATGCATTAAAGATTTATTCCTATTACCTAGTTCTAGAACGCATTGCTAGTTTCTCTAAGTCAAGCTTCTTAGAATATCGGCCTCTTAATTGCCTACTTATAAATTCTAATGCTTCGACCTGTTCAGTTTGATGAACCTGAACACTTGGCCCAGCATGCTCTAAAGCTACTTGTTTGGATTGGCAATCTCCAGAGTTTATGTTTGTGTTGAGCTTGGGTGCTTTGGCTGAAAAAGCTTCTTCTTGAGCATTATGAACTTCCTGACATACAACTTGACATGTTAGATCTTTTGAACATTTATTGGGATAATATAGTCTTAATAGTAACGTAATATTTGTTATTCAATGATCCATCAGGATTCTATACACATGGCTTTATCATTTACCTGACACACATTTGAGGGAAGGTTCCTAGCAGAAATGATAAAACCGGATCTAGATGCACCCGCAACATCACAATTATTTGCTTCCTTGTGCATACTCTGCTTCTTCTGAAGATCGGAAACTGCAACAAATTGTATAAAACAAGTTAGATTTTTGGAGAAACAAAAAGTATATAAAGCGTGTGTAAGTTT